TGGACTAGTGGACCTGTAGGTGGTCCTCGGCTAAGTCCCAGAAGAGATTATCAATTGTATTAAAACTTCATTAACACTCAAAGAGGAGCTCATGAATATACAAGGACAAATTAAACTAGATTTAACTTATTTTCTCCTAGTAGGATTGGATCAGAGAAATCTAGTTCAGAAGGTAATTGGATTTTAGCAATGCATCTGACAAAACTCTTATCATTCTTATGTTAATATCTACTCAGTATCCAGTAGTGCCTAACACAATGGCAGGCTCTCAATAAACGTTTGCCAATTAATGATAATCAACCACTTATAAATTGGAGAGGTTAAGAAATATGCTGGATGAGAGTCAGGATCCAAAGTAATCTCTTAATGCCAAAATGATCAGTTGAGTTAACCAAGAAATTATTAGGAATAGTTTTTAAATTCTTCACTTAGCATAAAAAAAGTTTGTTAATCTTATGTAAGTGGAAAAATTATGGCTAAATGACAATGCTTGTGAAATAGACTGGGTCAATTCCCAACTCACTCTCAATAAACCTGGGATTGACATTAGGCTGACAGAACTGAAGTTCCACTTGGAAAAGACAATTTTGGTCAGGAATCTTCAAACTTCAGTGTGTCTAAGAATACATGGAGTGAACAATCTGGATGCTTGTCTCCACTTTCAGCGATTTTTTCTCCCTAAGGTGGGACCCAGGAATCTGTATTTTCAATACAAACTTTTACATGATTCTGAAGATACGTCTACTATACTATGAATAAGAGGTACAGAGCCAGGATCAACTACAGAATTTGTGGGCCCAATGCAAAATGAAAATGTATGTCCCTTCTCCAAAAAATTAATTTTCAGTCAGTATTAGCAGAGCGGTAAACTAACTATGGCTATGAGAATGCAGAGGTTGCACGTCCGTGAAGCTCTTTATCACATCCTGAGGTAATTCTCTGCCTCCTCCACTAGATTAAAGATTTGGAAAAGGAAAAGATTTGTGTGACTCTAGAGCAGCACTAATACAACTTTCTGAGATGATGGAAATGTTCTATATTTGTGATGTCCAATTTCGTTGTGTAGCCACAACCCACATGTGGTTACTGAGACCTGAAAAGTGGCTAGAGTGACCAAAACTGAATTTTAAGTTTTACTTAGTTTTAATTTACATTTAAACAGCCACACGCAGCTAGTGGTTATCACATTGGACAACGCAGCTCTAGAGAGCAGTACAAACACCAACAGGTAGAAGTTATACTAGCTCTAGAATGTAAAACATTCTAGATCTGTCCGGAAAAAAAGAAAAACAGCTGCTTGGTAAGGTAATGAATTTTCTTTGTGAGGTCACGAGGTAACCAGCTGAGGATCTGAGAGGAGAGTTATGCAGTGGTAGCGGTTTGAACTGAAACAGGCCATGTGTCACATGAGGGTCTAGCAAATTATAAAGGCTCCCTCCCAAGCAGCTCTAAAGCAAAGCCCAGGGAAAACTACTACAACTTTGTTACATGGGACAATTAGAACTTTGCACATGAGGAGAAATAAAAAAAAGATAGTCTCTTCTTGAGAAGAAAAGGCCTGGGCAGCACTAGCTGTTAGTCCTCCCCACTCGCACCCATTAACAATCAAATTCCAGTCAAGAGAGGACCAGCGTCTATCCTGCTATCACCTGGAAAGACCCAAGAACCGAGATGAATCCAAAAAATTTTCATTGTGCACTTACTATGGGACAGCACTATACAGAATGACCATGAGGGTCTATAATGCTGATCAGTAGGATTAATTTGAGAAATCAAGATTATGAGAGTGCAGGCTCTGGCATCAGACTACCTGGGTTCTAGCTCTGCTTCTACCAGAAAAGTCTACTACCAGTGTTAACTTTAGACAAATAACTTCATCGAAAGCTTGGTTTCCTTATCTGAAAATATGGAAAATATCCCCTACCTCATAGGGTTTGTTCCGAGAATTAAAGATGATGACCATAAACCATGTAGCACAGTGTCTCACCAATGAGACACTAAGCTCAATAAACATCAACTGTTACTAATCTGAGTGTAAAACGTAACCTGATTACACTGGTGAATAGCTATATTTAAGCATTCAGGGCCTGAACTTTCGACCATAACTTAAGAATTAGTAAGTGTGAATAGCTTTGGGAAAAGAAAAGAATGCAACTCATTCCTTTTTTCAAAAATTACTTTGGGGCCGGCCCGGGGGCGCAGCGGTTAAGTTCGCACATTCCACTTCTCGGTGGACCGGGGTTCGCCGGTTCAGATCCTGGGTGCGACTCGATACTGCTTGGCAAAAGCCATGCTGTGGTAGGCGTCCCACGTATAAAGTAGAGGAAGATGGGCATGGATGTTAGCTCAGGGCCAGTCTTCCTCAGCAAAAAGAGGATTGGCAGTAGTTAGCTCAGGGCTAATCTTCCTCAAAAAAAAAAAATTCTTTTAAGTATCTTCTTGGTAGAAGACTGTATGGGATATGGTTCTTTTCAAGTATTACACATTCATACCTACGGAGTATTTCAGAGAACTGCTTTCAAATAAATTATGGTATTATACATATGAGTAACAGACATTGATAAAAATAATCTCACTATGATGGGAATAGAAGTTAGACTTTTAAAGTATGTAAAATTTCCTTTTGAATGTTCTAAAACTAAGGCTCTGTTAAGAAAGTAGCATCACCATCCCTGACTTCAAAACACACTACAAAGCTATAATAATCAAAACAGCATGGTACTGGTACAAAAACAGACACACAGATCAATGGAACAGAACTGAAAGCCCTGAAATAAAACTACACATCTACAGACAGGTAACCTTGACAAAGGAGCTAAGAACATATATATAATGGAGAAAGGATCAATAAATGGTGTTGAGAAAACTGGACAGCCACATGCGAAGGAAGGAAAGTAGATCATTCTCTCTCACCATACACAAAGATTAACTCAAAATGGATCAAAGACTTGAAGGTAAGATGTGAAACCTTAAAACTCCTAGAAGAAAACAGAGGTAGTACACTTTTGACATCAGTCTTAGAAGGATCTTTTTGAATACCATGTCTACTCGAGCAAGGGAAATAAAAGAAAAAGTTAACAAATGGGACTTCATCAGACTAAAGAGCTTCTGCAAGGCAAAGGAAATACGATCAAAACGAAAAGACAACCCACCCAACTGGGAGAAAATATTGGCGAATCATATATCTGACAAGGGGTTAATCTCCAAAATATATGAAGAACTCATACAACTCAACAACAAAACAACTTGATCAAAAAATGGGCAGAGGATATGAACAGACATTTTTCAAAAGAAGATATACAGATGGCCAGAAGGCACATGAAAAGATTTCAACATCACTAATGATCAGGGAGATGCAAATCAAAACTACACTGAGATATCACCTTACACCTGTTACAATGGCTATAATTACCAAGACAAAAACCAACAAATGTTGGAGAGGATGTGGAGAAAAGGGAACCCTCATACACTGCTGGTGGGAATGCCAACTGGTGTAGTCATTATGGAAAACAGTATGGAGATTTCTCAAAAAATTAAAAAAATAGAAATACCATATAACCCAGCTATCCCACTACTGGGTATTTACCCAAAGAATTTCATATCAATGATTCAAAAAGATTTATGCACCCGTACGTTCACTGCAGCATTATTCTTAATAATCAAGACGGGGAAGCAACCCAAGTGCCCATCGACTGATCAACAGATAAAGATGTGATGTACATGTATACAAAAGAATACTACTCAGCCATAAGAAAGCACAAAATCGTCCCATTTGCAACAACATGGACATAACTTGAGGGTATTATATTAAGTGAAAAAGTGAGACACAGAAAGACAAACACTATGATTTCACTCATACATGGAAGATAAATACACAGACAAAGAGAACAGATTAGTGGTTACCAGAGGGGAAGGGAGTTGGGAGGTGGGTGAAAGGAGTAAAGGGGCATATATATATGGTGACTGACAAATAATAATGTACACCTGAAATTCACATTATAAACTATTATAATATATACAAATATAAATGTTTAGATACATAATATACCTATAAGTATATAAAAATATAAATGTTATAAACTATTATGACCTCATTAAAATAAAATAAAAGAGAAAGTAGCAAACGACAGCAAATATTTATTACACTCAACAGTGGCTACACCTGCCAGATGGATTTTAAGGGTCGTATGACAGCAGGATTGGAAAATAGGCCCGAGATGTGCCTGAGGAGCTTAGATCATTTAAAACCCACCTGAACGAAGAGGAAACTGAATTAAGTCTATAGTGAGATTCTCAAATAGGGTGTGCCTAGCCTACCGAGCGCACACAAGGAAAAATGCAAGCGCCCAATAATGAAGCCATAAAAGTTACTTCCTCAAACTTGAAAAACAGATTCTCAGAATTATCCATCAGGCTTGCTTGTGGTTATACCTGAGAAACAGGACTACTTTTTACGGTCTGTCAGGGTAAGAAATCCCACAAACTCCGTTAAGTCAGATTACCTTTACTAAACACTTGTCATGTGCAAAGCGCCACGCTATCTTTTCAACATCTAAATATCTTATGTGTCTCTGTCAACCCCCTGAAGCAGAGCAATCATCCACTGCTATGGGTTTTGTGCCAGAGAACTCAGAGAACTCGTCAAAGCAAACCTTCATGCTTTGAAATCTCTTACTAAATTTTAGACTATAACAACATCAGTTCTTGGTTGGCAGCTAATCCTTTAGCACTTAGGGTGTCATGTGTATTCTCAAGCTACTCTTCCCACATATACAAACAGATTTTAGGACACCTGATGACTAAAACAGTTTTAGCGAAAGTGCAGGGATAATCGTTCACTTACTATTTTTTAAAATGGCCAAAATATTAGATAGAAAATAGAGGAACTCTATTTTTGGGATTACAAAGCATCTGTAAAGTCTAACTAGCACGTATACTGATGTTTCTATTTGAGTGAATGAAGATGTTCAGGCAGTGTTGGTTGTCTGGTCAGTACTTACAGCTCTTGACAGTATTACTGATAGATTCGACCAGTTTCTTCAGAGCCTTTGGGTCCATGTTGAGTGTGGCTTCAACAATTGCAGACTTCTCAGAGAGCCCACATCCAAGCCTGGGCGTGCTGGGTTGCCACTGATTCTACCATTTACTATGCCACAATCAACACAGAACATGACCATGGCAATATTCCAGTGACCAAACAAAGAAGGTTCTCAGGTACAGTCACATGCTGCATAACAATGTTTCACTCAAGAACAGACCACATATACAATGGTGGTCAAATAAGATCAGTACATACAGCCTAGGTATGCAGGAGGCTCTATCATGTACGTTTGTGTAAGTGTTCTCTACGATGTTTGCACAACACATATCCCTGTCATTAAGCAACTCATGACTGTAACTGGCAAAATATGCAACCAACAACAGTTCTTACCACTCAATAGAAATGCAGTGATTTCATCACTCCTATGATCTGAAATATTATAGCAATTCCAACATTTATCTTTTCTTTGCCACTAAACACCACTTAAAGTGGTACTTGATATTACTGCCATTCATATTTCCTCAGCACAAATTCTACAGTTGAAAATGTCTCCCTCCTATTTTTTTATGGAAGTTTTTTTTTTTTTTTTAAGATTTTAATTTTTTTCCTTTCTCTCCCCAAAGCCCCCTGGTACATAGTTGTATATTCTTTGTTGTGGGTCCTTCTAGTTGTGGCATGTGGGACGCTGCCTCAGCGTGGTTTGATGAGCAGTGCCATGTCTGCGCCCAGGATTCGAACCAATGAAACACTGGGCCGCCTGCAATGGAGCGCGCGAACTTAACCACTCGGCCACGGGGCCAGCCCCTAAAATGTCTCCCTCCTATCTGAATACATAATTAATACAAAGACTTTATTCTTTAAGTTGAAATAAAATAATTTCTCAGGCTATAAACAGCTCCTTCAGAGGTTATAATCTCCTTTGAAAGCTCTAACTAAGCACATTCTCATGATAACCAGAAGCTTCAATCTGGGAACTTCTAGAGAAACATAAAACCTAACTTTTATCCCTCCAACTTATATCCGACTGACTGGTAGGAAAACATGGTATGATTATGCCAAAGCTGGCCAAAATGGCAACCGTTCTAACTTTTGTCTACTGTCAAATCCTGTTACAGAGAACAGCTTCTACTCTATGTCTGCCTGCCTTCACTGTGGTAAGGCAAAAAAAGGGCACTGATTTTTAGAATTTAGGACACTACATTTTTACTAAATTTTTAATAAAATATAAAAACAAATGTCAAAATAAGGCATAACAACTGGAGAAAAAAAATAACTTTCCCAAAACTTTTCTTAAGGAAAAGTGTGAAACTTAAGTCTGAAGAATAACTGTTCTCAGTTTCTCTGAGGCTAGTCTACTGTTCTCTATACAGTGAAAGAAAACTAGGCAAAGGCTTTTAGCACATTTTGACTGAAGGAATATGGACCTATACTCTGGATAAAATAAATCCAGGACGCTGTTATGGCATTTAAAACACCTAAATATACTAAGGGAAACCAAATGAATCCAAAACAATTAGAAAGAGGTAGTACTGGTGAAAATTCAATTTTTCTATCCAGACATTCATCAATTTTGTTGCACTTACCTTGGCATCATTATCCAAATAACATGCCTCATATTTATAAAATTGGTGTAAAATTATTCAAGAAAAAGGGTAGTTTGGTGCAAGGGGGAAGTAAGAGATGTTATTAACTTGCACCTAAAATCGCCCAGTCAAATCTTCTTCCCTTACCTTATTAGAAGATTGTTAAGGCTACCATCAAAGAAATAATGAAAAAGGTATTGCCCAGTCAAGAGTCTAGAAAGAATACAATTTTTTGCCAAATCACCTTCTTCCCCAGTCTAATAAAATGAACAGTTGCTTCTAGTGGGACATAATCATCATACACTGAACCAGTGTGCAAAGGTCCGCTTTTATGTTCATAGCAAAACTGATCAACAAATAACCTGATAAGCTTACCTTTTAGCATTTTCACAAACAACAAATTCTGAGAAACTTCCTTTTGGATACAAAATGTCCCTCAAACTTGCTGTGTACTCAAGAGCATACAGATATCTTTTATTAGAAAATAGTATGAAGCTTTAAGAATAAAATTTAAGGAAACTTACCAAGAACTGTTATTTTTACAGCTAAAAACTTGGGTACGTGTCTTATCCACCTACCATTTAACACCTAGTAGTGTTTCTGAATCTTTATAACTTTACTTGTGACTCAAAGGGAGCTGATAAGAACACAGCTATTTTTAAGTAAAATAGCTATTTATTCAGCCTCTTGTCATGCCAAAATGTTTTGTGCATATACCACTATAATTAGCACACCCCCTGTAACAGGCAAAATTGTACATCAAATTATATTTCATGTTACCTGATTATATAAAAATGTAAGTGAAAATGATTTATCAATTTCTTTTAGCATTACTAGTAAACAATTCAGCAGGAGATATGAGGCACAAAATCTTAGTAAAATAGGACACAGGAAGAACAATAACGTAATTCTCACTTAAATTTAACTTTGTCATAATTTGTTATGAATATACAAAGACAAACTTTTAAAACGTTGTATTTACTAAGATTCTGGCAATAGCTTTATGTAACAAGACACAGCATACCAGGCCTGCCACTCAACTTGTTTATGCTAAGTCTCAGCTTCAATATGAAGCTGTTAAAAAAAAACACAAAAAAACCCCCCTGATTTTTACATGCTAAATATCTTGGCAAGTATGCCATTAAACACAGTAAGGAATTGAAGATAGAAAGAATAAGGAGTTAATAAAAGCTAAACATTACAGCCTAAACAAAATTCATACAAAAAATAAAATAACTATTACTGGTTACATAAAATTTTCCTGACTGGTTAAAACTTAACAGTATAAAACATGCATTTTAGAATCTTTAGCTATCAAGTTCAAAAAGTACCAGTGTCTATTTCAAATGATTCCTCTCCAAAGCCAAAAGTGTAGTCAAAATCAATTCAAATGTTATAATACATTCTAATGCTAAAAAACATTCAGTATTATTGAAGTGGAGGTAAATCCCAGAGCTTTCACGCTTTCTTGTTTTGCAGAAGACTGTTTCTCTGTTTCATTCAAAGCAGCATATGACAGAGTCCAAGGATGTCACTAAGTTCAGTAAAGGGCAAGACTGCTGTACCCAGCTCTGACCTCCCCATGAAGCATGGCTACTGTGTCCACAAGAATAGGATGTGTGAAGATAAAAGGCACACTATTCTGCTAGCTAAAGAGATAGCAAACCACCCCCCACCCTAAAAGCTCCTTCCCCAGGTAAATAAAAGTATACAAGGGGAAAAAATTAAAATACACTTATCTACAGAGTAAGGATTTTGAATTATCAATGTAATCATTACTTCAAAAATGTTAACTAGAATTATCTGGTCATTTCTGATTACATCTTAATGATGTATCCAGATTCAATTTCTATTGATTTATCATTAGATACTTCTAGTCAAAAATATTAACTTTATTCCCAAATATCTTAACCACTAGTATGACTGCAGTGCATTATCTCCCAGAGTTATTAAGCACTGGAAGAGGAAAAAAAGATGTTCAAGCAGCAGGCAACAATCATGGCCCTTTCACACAGTGGCATCTTAGTGGCTACTGAATAGTCCAAGAATAATTCTAAAAACAAGAAAATTCATGCATTTCAGTAAATATGTCATAATTTTCACAGTTGAAATTTCCTCAGCATTGCACTTTATAAAGGAATCCTGATTTTTCTTAATGCTACGGTGAGTCAGGACTTGAACTAGCAGCCTTCTTTTTCTTCTTCTTACTGTGTTTCTTATGCTTCTTTTTCTTTTTTGTTTTTTCCTGTAAAGACATCCACATTAGACATTTCTACATGAAAATACACAAATTAAAACCAACTTTACCATGGTACTTTTAAACTTCTACATAGTTATTTCTAACAATCCACACAACCAGGTAAGCTACTCAAAACATTTCTCGAAAAGTCTCAATAATCAATATCATATGATGACTAAGAGAGCGCCTGTCAATTTTCAAAATTGAAAAACTCTAAGTTATTAGCACATTAATGTAGCTTCTAACAAAATTTCCTATGGAAAATAAATTCAATTGAATCATGGTGCCAACTGCTAAATTTCACGTTATATAATTTCTAAAGTCAAAGTCATTGTAGTTACTGCAAAAGAATCCTCACACCAGAGGAAAAAACAGTTGTTTTTGTAAAATGACAGTTTCTAGAGGACAGATATATCTGCTATTTTTAAGTAAACAGGAACACAGATATTATGTACTGCTTGGACTGGCAGCACTACTTTAATTATGAAATTAACAACTACTAATGTATAAAATATTGATGTATAAAGCAGATGCTTGATTTTTAGAGGAAAATGCCACTGAAGCCTAGTAAAAGTAGTCAAATTGTGCTGGATAAAGGCAGTTGGAATTTTGCTGAACTCTGACTCTCATGACTGTTTCTGATGTAGAAGAGAAGGCAGAACTTTTAGAAACAGATACTTGGAAAGGCGGTATCAAATGACAGACTATTAGCTGACATTGGGACAAAAATAAAGACCAAGGAAAGAGAAGACATATAAGAGTAGCAAAAACAAAGTTTTCTATGCATTTCCTTATCTATTAGAACCTTTCACAATCTCCTCAGAGAGGGTTTCCCTCCCCAAAGTCACTCTCTCACATATCATCCTCTTACCTATCTTGTATTCATTGTAACAGCTCTATCAAGACCTAGAACAGTGCCTGCATAGATGCTTAATACATCCTAGCCGAACGTGTGAAACAGTGAAGCAGGCAAATACAAATTACAATTATCCAAAATTAATCTTATGCCTTAAATTAATCAATCAATCTTAACCAAAGACCAAAGCAGTCTTTACCTAAATTAAGTTCTCATTCAGAAAAAGTCTCTTAAATGTCACCTCGGTCTTGAAGCATATAAAATGTTAATTCTGAATCACACATTACCAGGTGAACCTTATCAGAGAAGGACCCTCATTTTAAGAGCTAGGAAAATTCTAGGAAGGGGTATTTACCTTCAAGCCTACATATGATACCGTTCTCATTTGTCTTTTACCTCTCCTTGAGAAAATGCCTTCAAAGGCCATAGTCCACACTTAGACTGAGTGTGCCTAGGTTACTCTGCTGATGTGGTCTGTGTTACTCTTTGATAATCTGCTATCCATTTCCTCTAGGTTTGTCTGCTTCTCATTTGGATACCACTTCTTTGTTCCTTGTTCTCTTCTTCCTTCTCTCTCCTTTCTTACTTCTCAATCTGCATAATAGCACAGCTGGCTTTGCCAGGATCACAAGAATCACCTTTATTAATGAATCATTTATGTTGCCAAACCCTGCTTACTAATCACTGCAGCTTGTGCTTAGAGGTTTTTTCCATTATTACCAGATTTGGTTGATCTGGAAGTAACTCTCAAAGATGGAGGGAATCGCCATACTTGAATCTCATATTTCATATTATAGCTTAAGAAAGTCAACCAGAAGTTTGAGCTTACATTTCTAACCGTAAAATACTGAAATGGAAACAGGAGATATTTGCTACTAGGGTATTGATTCTTCCTTTTTCCTGAGCCTATTTAACTTTCTCCAACCCATTCAGTGAAGCTGCTGAAGACTATCCCTT